CAGTCAACACTTTCTCTTGCCTGTCTGGGCCATTGTTGCACTCCTGTGGAACACAGAAGGTTTCGTGCACCTGACAAGGATTGTGTGAAGGAAGATCGCGCACTAGCAATCCAAGTTGCCCGTTTCAGATTTGTCAGTTCAGCACTTTGTCGCAGGATTTCAAGCTACCCACTGAGACCGGCACTTCAACGTCTGGTGCACCTGTTTTGAAGAAGGGCTTGCGCCTCACCACGCATGCCTGCAATCATCCGGGGATATGGATGAAATTTGGGGATCAAAATCCAAGTTTGGGCTTGGAGAAACTATCCAAAACAGAGATTGTGTTGTGTTTAGGAGGTTGCATGATGGTACCTGGTGTTAAACAACCAAACTGAGGGTTGTTGGGTCAAATCTTGTCTGTCAGCCCCGCAGCTGCTGGTTGGTTAAAGGCGAGATTCCATTGAATTGACCATTCCCGCCGCAAATAGTTTCCCATCATGCATCATGTACAGTCTTTGTAGCACACGGACATGACATGACTCTGGTTCTGTTGAAGTCGAATTGTGTGATGAATCTGTACAAATAGATAGTGATGATTAGTGATGTAAATAACCGACGATACGATATGCACTGATGAAGACTGTGTCAAAATCACCATCCCCTTCGCTTCCCACGGCCTGTCCAAAGTGCTGGTTGCAGAGCGTGATCATGTTTTGGTGGAGACACAAAGCTGTACACCTCAGTCCAGCTACCCTGGATCCCCGTACCATGAAGTGCGCAGAAAATATTTATCATGTGTCTTATGTTACAGGAAAACACAATATGACATCACACATGTATGTAACTACAATGTTAATTATACAATGTCAATCTTCCGGATGCACCGTAACATGTGTATACAATACAAAGTATTGCAGGACATAATTATTATCGTTATAAGAGGTAATACGGTATATTACGGTATATTCTTTTGACATCAGACTCCTTCAGAGATCCAGCTCACATCCTTGCGGGGAAAATGTTGACAGGAGCCAAACCCAGAGCAGTCTTCACCCTTGCCATCCGCAAAGTTTGCAATCCTTGCCCAGAGCAGTTTCCAAACGCGTGCACCGAACTCCGACACAGCGGTAGGTCCCGTCCCACTGTCCCACCTGCAGCAGGTCGCCATGGTGTTTTCCAACCGCAAGCGACACCTGAAACACGCGGCATCCGGCGTTGACAGCGTCCACCATGTCCACATATGTCCAGGAGTCCAAAGCGAGGCCAGGATGCAAGTGATCCAAGTGCCAGACCAGCGAGTTTGAGAGTTGTTGACATGCATCCAATTCCTTATTCCAAAATGAACTGCTCAAAGTTCTCAAAGACCATCAGGATGGATCAAAACGTAAATGAAATTGATCCGTAAACAATCGTGGCAAGCAAGGAGAAGCTTCGCTGAGCTGCTCACGGATCTCTCAACATCTCCACAAGACTGTTCCTGGATATCAAAACATTCGGGACATGCACCCTTCAAAAACCATCAACTACCTGGCTTCAAGAGACACCGAAGCGCACAGGAGTTGCTTTTTTGGCAAACAATGCGTAATCACGTGCTAACAAGAAATGAGTGGTCATGGATTCAAGAGAAATGCAAGGGGAAAAGCCTTTCTGAATCTTTCTGAGACGGGAAACTTGAACCCAAGATCCTGCCTGCACTGTATGGAGTCCTGGCTATTCGATGGAAGTTTCAAGTTGAACTGTATGAACTGAACCTCTAGAGAGTGGCAAAAATATTCCAATGGATATTCCTGATATTCCCGGCTTTAAGAATGATATGGCCTTTTGGATCATACTGACTGATCTGCTTCACATCAACAGCATTGCAGGCAGCAAGGATGTTGTGTTTCGCATTCAGGCCTGCTGCAAATCGCTGTGAGAACACCAAGAAAAGCACCACTATTGTCCAAATGGTTGCCCAAAAAATTACCCCTATATGGTGGGCATTGCAATAGTAATAGGGAAAATGTGTTTTTTTAGCTGTGAACTATGGATGGAATGAGGGTCCCCGATTTTCAACAAATCATCGAGTGCTGACAGCGCATGGCCTGACCACGAGTGCTTGCAGTCAGCAGCGCCACAGCCTCCGCCAGTGTACGCATCTCCACCAGTCACCAAGGGCCGCAGGTTACGCAGGCACTCAGCTTGCTGCCAGCAGCATCCGTCGCCATCGCATCATGCACCTCATAGTACTGGGATGTTCTGCAATGATTGCGATGTGCCAAACTCCCAGTATCTTCCAGCATTTTACAGCCTTCCATTGTGGTCCATTGTGGTCCTGACATTGTCAAGATGGAGTCGCCAGAATGCGCCAGCCTTGGTGCAGATCGTGTGCCCCATCCAGTCCATCCATCACATTTCAAGACAGTTGGAGCTGAGTGAGGGACACCGGTCAGGATGGAACAACTCAAACTGCCCTATGACCTACTGCATGCTGGGTTTCTCCCAAGCTGTACTGTTCTTCATCTTGCTGCAACTATTTCAC